AAAAAAAAAAAAAAAAAAAAAAGATAAACAAAAAACAGAGAGAGATATCACAATCACAAGAAGAGAGAAGAAAAAGCACAACCATATTACCTCCTCCAGGCAAAAAGCAAGCACAAAGCAACCAATCAAATGGCGGTAGCACGCTGGTGACATAGGCTCATCACTGCCTTACGCTTATCTACAACTCACTCGCCGCCCACGCAAATGAAAGCGAAAGGTATTGACAGAAACCGTCTGATTACACGGCGGAGATAACGGAATGCACGAACAGAGAATGCAACAGAGGCAACCTGTTAATGGAGAGGATTTTCCGAACCCTAAATCTCCCTCTAGTCCGATCAGTGAGATTTTAGACCTTTTTAATTCATGCGAGTTTGATTAATTTGGTATCGGTTTCTGGATTTTTTCGCAATTTGAGGTCTGAGCGCCGATTGTCGACGAACACAAACAAATTCATATTCTGTATAACATATTAATTTGTACAAAGGTGATTTCCAGAGTTCTTAGTGATGAATAATGTCCGTCACGGTCTCCGAAGAGGAAAAGATAGTACCGTCCAGAACGTAGGTCCGTATGATTCGTCGGAACTTGATACCGTTCCCGCCACCGCCATCTGAGATCAGGAGAAGTTCATCTCCGGAAACTCGGAGATCAGGTAGTTACTAATCACAGAGTTGTTTCCAATTTCAACATACCGAAATCATTATAATGTTTCTACGGCCTTGGACATAATCGAGAGCCGGCTACTCTTTGGCTTAAAATCGCCTCTGCGCCGTTGTTGATGAGAAGAAGGCCGAATCAAAGCCGCTAAAGCTCGCTTCACAAGATCGCCTTCAACACCTCCGATTCTAACCAGAGAATTCGTCATAGCCGATCTACGAGCATTCAACCTACTCGGCAAGTACGGCGCGTGCGGTTGCGAAATAATACCTTTATGGAGGCTACACCGGAACGAGCCAGGGTGAGTTGTAGGAGAACACATACACGTCCTCTTCGAACTGTTCTGCCTCTTCACCACTTGATTCTTCCCACCGCCACGAGAAGAAACAGACACAGATCTGTTCGGAGATATCGCACGGTCAACATAAAACCGCACCGACGGCACGGAAACTGAAGACGAACCGTGAACCTTCACACGCGACGGCGAAGTCGATCTGCAGAAAAAGGAAGTTGCCGATCCAGAGGAGAAACTGGAAGTCGACGACGCGAACGCCGACGGAGATGAATTCCGGTAACCGTAGAATCTTTCAGACGGTGAGAACGATCGGAGAACTGATCCGTTCGATCTTCGAGAAGTTGCCGCCATTTTCGTCACAGTAGAGAGAGAAAGAGGAAAGGAGAATCTTGAGCTTTTTGCTCTAATTCTTCCTAATTAGCCGTGTTTGGCTATTGAGTTTGGCAAACCCGTCTTCACTCGCACTATGTATTTATAGGGATTCAACGGAAAATATAAAATATTTTAATTTCCAGAGTGGCGTCTTTTTCTATCATACCCTTCATCTTTTGCATATTTGTGAAAACCGTCGAAAAATAGAAGGAAAAATTACACAAACCACCCTAATCTGTTACAATTTCTCTCTTAATACTTTTATTTTTATAAATTAACCCCTAAACTTTGTCGATATTTCAATTATATCAGGGGTGTTTTATGCAATTTTTTAAAACAATATAATAAATTTTTAAATTTTAAATTTTGCGTGTTAATATATTATTGGTGTATTTAATTTTTTTAATTTATATTAATTCCACTAATTATAATAATATTAATAATTATTGAAACGGTGAGAAATATACAAAAAAAATAATTTAATCATGAAATTCCAATATGGGGGACAGAAATACATGTTATGTTTCCTTGTTATTATTGAACTAATAATTCAGAGAAAATCCTTTTTTTTTTTTTATTCTGTATTTAATTTTTTAATTTTAAAATAAGATTCGTCATTATTATTATTATTATTATTATTATTATTATTTAATGGGAGCATCTTTTTATTAATATATTCGCCTAATTTATATGCCCTTATGCTCCCCAAAAGCTTATGATTATTTTAGGTTAATTTATGTCTTTACACTAAAATTAATTAATTAGTTATGCCATTAAAAAATGGTGTTACAAATGTCACATTAATTTAAACAATAATAAAACACTATTTTCGAAAAACATAGTTTTTTTTTTAATTTAACTAAAAATTTAAATATTTTAAAAACTAAAAACAAAAATAAAAACAAGATCTATAAATTAAAATAGACTTAAATTTTAAAATAAAAATAATGAAATATATATATATATATATATATATATATAATAATTTGAGATGTGGATATTTAAACTTTAAAAAGAATTCCAAAAATATCCGTTTTTTAGGAACCGGTTATTAATTTGTTTAAAAATTATTGTTAATAATTTGTTTAAAAATTATTTTTAAATTTTTAATAGTGTTTCAAAAATACTCTTTTAACTTTAAAAAAATTGAATTACTATCTTTAATTTTTTTAAAAAATATATATATATTTGTTGAATATTATGTTTAAAAATACGTATTAACCCTCTCTATCTTTATAAAAAAAATTAGAAAATTATTACTATCAATATATATAATGAAAATCGTCTATTGACATTTCATAAATTATTTATAGATATTTTAATATTATTTTATAAAGTTCGTATTTAAAATTTTAAAATTTTATGTATATTTTTTAAATAAATTATAAATTTAGAAAGTATTTTTTTTAATTCAGTCTGAAGTCAGCCCTATCAGGTTCAACTCAACCAACCGTGGCCGGTTGGGTTAGTTGAACCGGCATGGTTGAGGTGAGCTTTCAGTTTTAAATTTTTTTGTACGTGGTTTTTCACTTTTCTTTTTTCTTTTTTTTTTCTTTTTTCTATTTCGGCTATTTAAACCCAAAAATATCAAAACGACAAAAAAATGGCACCGTTTGGTATGACAGCTGTCTTCCTATTTTACAGTTGTTTGCCACGTCAGATGTCAGATCCGCTTTGGATTACACGTCCTGCTGAGCTAAAGCCTTTACATATTTCATTCCCAAATTGCCCTCCGTTTAAATTAAAACTATTTAAATTTTAGAAATAATTAATTCCTAATTTCCTAAAACAAACCATGGTAAGTTGAATTTTTACTCTAATCAAACTAGAGTTTACTCTAACCAATTTCACATTGGTTCAACTTGTTCTACCCTTCGATCAATCTAACCCCACTCGAGTCAGGTCAAATCCTTTGACTCATCATCCGACTTGTTCGACTAGCTCAACTCGACTTATTGGAATCATGCTGGCTCAGTTCGACCTGCATGGCTCAACCTACTTAGGTTGGATATTTAGGTCAGTCTCCTCAGCTCTACCATCGAAACTACGCTCTCAATATTCTTAGCTCAACATATTCGACCCAGGCCTCTCGACTCACATTCTTCCTAGCCTCCATTCGAGGCAAGCTTGAACCCATTAAACTCCTCTAGTGATATGTTCTCAAATGCTCAACATTTTCGTGAACGAGGGAGAGGTAAGTGCCTCTCAAGCTATTCTCCTGATCTATTACAGACCGAGCCCAAAAATGTTTAAGGACTTATTTGAAATTTTCTGAAATTAAACGACGCATAAAATAATAAATTAAAATAAATAAAATAATATTTATAAATAAAAATAACAAAAAGGGTATTTATGACAATAAAGAAGGTTGGTTTAGGCATCCTTATCTAACAATAATTCTAAGTAGTTGAGTGTAACATAATAAATTTAATAACAACATTCTTCTCAATTCAATTAATTATTTTTCTTTTAATGTAAAAAAAATTCAAGAAAATCAAAATTCTTTAATTTTCAAAATTAATTTAATTTATATGATAATTAGTTATTAATATTTAAAATTATATTTTAACATATATTTGACATAAATATTTTTAATTTTCTTTTTATATTTTTTTAAGGGATTAATATCATTTTGCTAATAATTAATATCTATATATAGATATTTTAAACATATTAGATATCATTTACGTAATTCAAAAGGTATGTCTTTATTTGACTTTGACCAATTTTCGATAGATATGATAGCATGTTCTTATCTCACGACCACTATCTTCGTTTAGTTCATGCATTAGGATTGTTATCATTTTCTCGTATATGGTTGTAATTGCTTCAGCTCACTGCTAACAATATATTGTCCGCTTTAACCCGTTAAGTATCGTTGTCACGATTTTAAAATAGATAATATTTACCAGAGGTGAGCTTGGGCTATTAAAATGGTATCAGAGCCAAAAGTGTAGAAATCTCACCCTAACAGACGCTTTTTAAAACTATGAGACTGACGATCATACGTAACGAGCAAAAGCAGACAATATCTACTAGCGGTGGGCTTGGGCTGTTACAAAAATTAAAATAATACCAAATCATATTTTATTTTCTTATCTTAATGGAATAATTATATAATTTTTTAGTCCATATTTCCAAGGAAATCAATCATTTAATAAACATTTTAATTACTTAAATATTCCACTTTATTATAAATTGTCACATAGTGACAATAAGCTCTCCACTTTGAACCTTATCTATAATGTTCCATTTAAATAAATATATTTAAAAAATATTAAAAATTAAATAGTCAATTCTAGTTTGGTTTGGATGCAACTTGGATGCCTTTTTTCTATTTTCATTAATATCATATATTTAATATCTTAATACAATTTTAAATATTTTATTTATATGTTTTTTTTATTATTATTATTTTAGTAATTTTTGTCGACTTTAATGTAAGACAAAAATCTAGACATGTTTTGAATTCAGACAGCTGATTTGTTACATGACGGTTTCAAACATTTATTCAAGTAAACATCAGCTAATTAATTAAGAGAAGACATGTCATGTGAGACATTAGTGGACCGATCATATGATTTTAATCATATAAAACCACTCGATCGTCGCTTGGAGGGTTCAAAAATATCCCCTCCAATCGGCCACCATTAAATATAAATATTATTTCTTTATCGATAACATAAAAAGAAAAAAAATCAATGGATAACATGATGACATTTAATTTATAATACTTTTTTATTAAAATATCTAATAGGTCGATAATATCGATGACTATAGCTCCCCCAACAATTTTAACAACGTACTTAATCAGTTGTCTAGTTTTGATTATCTAAGACTTATTTGGTGGTAGGTTGTCGTATCGTGATCATACAATTAGAAGGTTTTTTTTTTCTTTTTTCGATCAGTCATTTCATTCATTACAATATAAAAATTTTAAACTAAAACTAAGTAGGTCAAGATCATTTGATCGATGTAAGTTAAACAACTATTTTAATCGATCGTAAACAACTTCACCCGTACTTTAAACCCTAATGATTAACGATTGATAAGTGTAAGAGTAGGGCAAACCATTAATGTGGATGGTAATCATGTGTGAGATCCCACACCAAGTTGGAGAGGAGAATGAAACATCCCTAGTAGACGTGTTTTAAAATCGTGAGGCTGACGGCGATACGTAATGGGCCAAAGCGGATAATGTTTACTAGTGATGGCCTCGGTAACGGCCCAAGCCCATAGCTAGCCGATATTGTCCTCTTTGGGCTTTCCCTTTCGGGCTTACCCTCAAGGTTTTTAAAACGCATCTGTTAGGTAAAGATGTCCAAACTCTTATAAAAGGTGTTTCGTTCTCCTCCTCAACCGATATGAGATCTCATAATCCACCCCCCCTTCAAGGCCCAACGTTTTCGCTGGCACTCGTTTCTTTCTCCAATCGATGTGGGATCCCTACCAAATCCACCCCCTTCGAGGCCCAGCGTTCTTACTGGCACACTACCTCGTGTCTACCCCCTTCAGGGAACAGCCTCCTTGCTAGCACATCGCCCCGTGTCTGGCTATGATACCATTTGTAACGGCTCAAGCCCACCGCTAGCAAATATTGTCCTCTTTGGGCTTTCCCTTTTGGGTTTTCCCTCAAGATTTTTAAAACGCATTTACTAGGGAAAGGTTTCCATACCCTTATAAAGGGTGCTTCGTTCTCCTCCCCAACCGATGTGGGATCTCATAATCAGACTGTTACAAATGTTTTAGAGTAAGACGTCGAGCGTTGTGCCAGCGAGAATGTTGGCCCCCAAGGGAGGTGGATTGTGAGACCTCACATTGGTTGGATACCTCTTTTTGGTAGACGCGTTTTAAAATCGTGAGGCTAACGACAGTACATAACAGTGTAAAACGGACAATATCTACTAGTGGTAGTCTCGAACGAATAAGAAGTAAAGAAGGGTTGAAATTTGGGGAAGATGGAGGGGCCCTCAATAGGAACTAGAGAGGATGATGAAGACATGATACCAATCTAAGCAAGTAGGCAATTTGGTGTGAAGAGAACCAAAATATTGTTCTATATATTTGTTATATTAC